ATATTCATTTTTTTCAATCATGTAAAGATTTTTTACAATTCGGGAAGAATAAATACTCTTACTTGGATCAAATTATTACACAATGAACATTTTTTATTATTATGTTAACACAAATACAAAAAAACTGTAGGGAAGAACACTGATGTCAAACAAATGTGCATCCTCATTCATCCTGATTTTTTTTGTGAAATTTACATCTTTTAGTCTCAAAACTACATGTTGTAGTCTTTCTTTTATGTATTGCATTATGATGTTTTGGGAAAAATCTGTATATGATAGAGAAAAATGAATATTACTTTTGGATGCAGCATACAAGAATTACTGTAGAACAAAATTTGAAGACAATAAAACCATCACAGGCCTGTGGTGTCAATTTCTGCTTGTTGAAAGTTATCATTTTCCTAATCTGAAAATGTAATTCCAAACGTACTTACCTCCAGTCTTTCATACCCCAATCAACTACCCTTGACAATATCTAATTTGCAAAACTTTACACCAGCCCTCACACACCCTCTATGCAGGTACTGTATATAAGCACTGTATGCAGACAATATAATAACTTACTTCGAGATTTACTCCATTTTCAGATTAGGAAAATGATAACTTCCAAAACATACATACCTCCACTGCCACTTATAGCTAGAATCCCACACTGAGAATGTGGAGGGGCCAGTGAGGGCATAGTTCATACAGAAAACATCTGCACAGAACAAAGGTGTACCATGAGAAGTGGTACTTAAGTGGGGAAAACTGCACTACATCCAGAACAGTGAAAAGGGTGGAATAGTACACAAGTAAGTAGGATGGTCAGCCCCAACCACACAGCCGAGGTTTCATGACTCTGGGCTGGATTTAAGGGGTCATGGTACCCATATCCCACATTGGTGACCAGGACAGTTGAACCTCAAATATATACATATCTTTGTAATAGGATCCCCACCCACAGCCATAGAACAATACATTCCAAAATACTGGATTTATGAAAGAAAGAAAGCAACACCAAAGAGGACAGTCCTTCTAATCCACCTGATGGAGTCCAAAAGACAACATCCCAGGTTCAGATTGACAGGATCATATTTGCCACACCCCACCCAAGGTCCAGAACTCATCCAGTCTGGATTGACGAACAGTCATCTTCAGTCCCCAACCAAGTGGGCAAGGAGAATTCCACTTACCCATGGAATTATGAAGAGGACATGCAACACTGTTCCACCAAGGGTCTAAGATGGGACTGTATTGTATTTGGATTGATGAGGAGATAGTGGACCCCCTGTATGAACAATCTAAGACCCGACAGTGTTCATAAGAGAGTCCAAGCACACCCCCACTGGATAGCTAAGTGGCAAATCTAGACTGCTTTTGAGTAGGCTCCTGCGTAGGTTGGTCCTGCTACTACCAACATCTGAGAAAAACTTTGAGGGACCCAGGTAGGAGGGTCCCCAACTTCACCCTCTTCTCCAAGAGTGGAGAAAACTCAACATTCAGAAGGAAAATCCTCTGTCCACCACCCCATCGACTGGGAACTAGGTGTGGTATGGACTCCCTAGCTCTACTAGTAGAATTGGGAGGAGGGGGGGGCATGTGCATGATGAGGAGTCCCAAGGAACAGGTCTCCGGAGATAGTGCAACAGGTGAACCATGTTCCCTAAGTTTTAAAAGCAAACTGATCTTGACTGATTCAGCTCAAAGATCAGCAGGGACTGGAAAATCCCCCTTTAGCTTTACTCATGATAGTCCATGAATAGCAGTCCATTGGATTTGTATCGTGAGATAATATTACCAACAAGAATTGTGTCTAGATGGTCTTATGGAACACCTCATCTCAACAGAGCTCATTGAAACCATGAACCGATATAAAGGTCGCTAGAGTGAAATTGAAAAAATACAAGCACACCTGACTGGGCAATTAAAGAAATAAAGAGGGACTCTAGAAGAAAAAACCATAAAGCAGATAAAAAAGTTACCTCCTCGTTAAAATCTAGAAGAGGTAATCAACACAGTCACAGGGGGAAGGCGAAATCCCCCAAAAGTGGAAACTGCCAGATCATGAAGATAATGGGACAGCAAAGCGTCAGGAGAAGTCCACATACCGGCCCACAAAATATCCTCCAGAGAACATTTCATATCATAAGCCACATAACATCTAAGTGCTCTGACTGGACACAACAAACGATCTGGGTCTGACTGACTGTAAAGATGAGAAATACCTGGTAAATGAATAGGAGAAAAGGATTTATTCCCTTCTCTGGCAGCAAAAATTTTTGGTAGAAAGGATCTGTCTGGATAGAGCAAAACATAGGTGGAATGATAGAGTCTGCTGAACATGGATGGCAAATAAAGTCAGAACGGCAGCATCCAGAAGCTAACAACAATAAAAAATATACCTTGAGGGAAAGGTGATACAATGAACAGGAGGCCATAGGTTTGAAGGGATAATGTGATAATGCATGTAAAACAATTGAAAAGGTAATTTGGGTCAAAGAATACAAAAGGATTGTAAAAGATGAGATAACACAGGAGAGTCAAAAACCTTCTTATACTTAGAATATCAAAAGGTAGCAGCTAAGAATGCTTTATATAATGCAACGGTAGAAGAAGCCAAATCTCACTCAAACATCCACGTCAAAAAAGTGATACTATGGAGACTGTTAACAAAACAGAATGTCCTCCTAGTTGCTTTCTCAGTCATTTTTGTGTGTTAGGATGCCATCTTGTTCTTTCAAAACAAGATTTCAAATGATCAGGTAAGTCTTTAGTGAGCTCAAAATTTCATACTTTTTTAGAACCAAATACACCTTAGTTACTACACTTGATAAATTACAGCAGAATTCTATGGTATTGATATAATAATTTATGTTTATTTTGAAACCACAGCCAAGGGAACTGGCTTTGAAAAATTAGTGACGCGCATCTAATTAGTGACGCGCATCTAATTAGTGACGCGCGTGAATGGATTGACGAGATTCCCACTGTCCCCTATCTACTATCTAGCGAAACCACAGCCAAGGGAACTGGCTTTGAAAAATTAGTGACGCGCATCTAATTAGTGACGAGCATGAATGGATTGACGAGATTCCCACTGTCCCTATCTACTATCTAGCGAAACCACAGCCAAGGGAACGGGCTTCGAAAAATCGCTGATTTTTCCAAGCCAGTTCCCTTGCCTGTGGTTTCGCTAGATAGTAGATAGGGACAGTGGGAATCTCATCAATCCATTCATGCGCGTCACTAATTAGATGACGAGGCATTTGGCTACCTTAAGAGAGTCATAGTTACTCCCACCGTTTACTCGTTCCCTTGGCTGTGGTTTCTCTAGATAGTAGATAGGGACAGTGGGAATCTCGTTAATCCATTCTTTAGTGTTAATACTTAATTAACTGCAATTACCAGATATTTTCTCAGGCATCAAATTCATATTAACAGTAGCAACTGTTATTGTTTCCAAATGATTTCTTCAATGATTCTAGTTCCCAACAAATACACCAAAGCAATTTAATTACTTTAACCCTTGCATAAGACAATAGGGGCTCCTTTAGTTTCTTTACTTACAATGATAGAAGAAGTACTGTTTTCTCACGTTTTAAATTATCAGGACATGTTAATGAAAAAGCTAAACAAGTGAACATTAAATTAAAAATGATATATGGCTTACAATTATTTAAAAACCATCAACAAAAGCCATAAGTAACTCCTAGAAAGTTCAACCAGTTATCACATTATTATTGATCACAAGATGATTTATAGAACAGACTTTATTATTTATTTTTGTGTACTGATAGTGGATTTGCAGAAGTGTTTATAAAATTAACATGTATCCAATATGAAAAATGCACTAGAATACTAAGAAAACAAAATTAAAACTCAATTCACTGCTTCTTTCACATCAAAAGTAGGTAACAAAGTCACAGTTTAACACTTATTCTAGTTATGGATTGATGATTCATCAACAATTTTAAGGCCATTGCTATTGCCACCAACGGAGAGGTGGCAATAAAATCTACTGACTATTTCAACCGACCTGTGGCAGTCACTGCTACAGAAAACCTATTTATACTGACATCAACAATTTAATTGATCTTGCCTGACTAACCACAATATTTCACGTAAAGTTATCATAAGCCGATTGATACTAGTAACAGTATCAGGGAAGAATGTCAACATATACGCACTGTAATAGCATTTTTTTCTTTCCTGAAATTTAAATCCAAAATTTCGCCCAAATCATCTACATGGGGAGAATTGTAGCAGCTTGAAAACTATATGAAATTGGCCCATCCCATACTTTAATTTACTGTTGTCTGTGTGATTAGTGTTATCGTGGTTTTAATTGCACCTTCTTATCAGTGTCAATAGCCACTTCATAAATTTAAAAATTAAAGTCTTAAACATTAACATTAACCTTTATAAAATTAAAACTTTAAAACAAACCATGAATCTGGATTGGCTATAAATTTCAATTACAATCCCAGAGTATCCTAATAAAATAATATTACTAGTAGTAATAGTTGTTGAAACTCTACTGATAATTGCAATTTTATAGTTATAACTCAAGTTCCATAATCCCTGAACTGAAGTAAAAACTATCGTCACTTTGAATTTTCCTGAATCACTGTGAATGCTAGGCTTCGGGGTAACCTGTAGACTTTCATCAATTATTCATATCCAATATCTTATAACATACGTAAGTTATGCATAATTCAGTTATAACTTATACAGTTATAAGTTGCAAAACTACTAGTACTATTAATAGTAATAATACTATATATATATAAATTAAATACCTTGAGCACGTAATATTGCGGACTTTCCTCTTCCAGCCGCAGCTGCAACGCCTCTACTCCCAGTTTTTTTGAACATAGGTGCATTTTTCAACATGTCTGGTAATATCAAAAATCTTACTTTACTACCTCTGATGTAGACATTTTCCATTTGAGCTACTCTTCCGTCTCGATACGTTACTGTAATATTAGACATTTGACAGTTCATATTATCTTCGGCTTCGACCAATTTTCCTCGGTATACTTCTCCAGTGTTTGTTTCACATGTTACAATATGACCTTCAGCTTCATGAAGTACTTTAATTGGAACACCAATCGACATACTGATACTTATGGTTTATTAAATCTGATTTAAATATATATTATACTACTTGAGAACTACCGATGTAAAATGATTCACAATTCCAAACTTACAAACAGCAATTTTCCCACACTCACGAAGCAGACTTTCGCGGCCTCTATATTTTGTTAATAATCATGCAATATAAGTAACGAAAACCCACATGTTGTAGTTTTATATATTAACGTATGTATTTATTATACATTAAGTATTATATTTTTAATATAGATAATATAGCTTAAAGATCCAATATATAATACAATTCATATGAGTAGCTATAAGTAAAAATAATAGCGCCCTGTAATTCGAAATTTTGAGAGACAAAAATGTGACCATCCCTTTAAAACAAATTAGATATAAATAATAATTAAGAAACCAATTCATAAAACATACTGTTACGTCTCAGTTTGTTGATTAACTTTCCGTAACTTCGTTCCGACGAAACTTTAGCGACACAAGTCCTTACTTAATAAAACTGGTTTATTCTTTCCGAATATAACTTTACCGATACACTCAACTTCAACAATCGCGCTAAAACAAACGCTATAACAACGAACGTGCTCAATAATACTCTCTGACTGTAGATCAATTACTCACTGTCTACACACACATATCCCGTCACGTTTTCACCCTCTTATATATACCAGACTACCCTATATCTAGCAAATGCTAGAGTATTCGCCAAGGTACAGGATAGTTCTAGAAAGCAGAGGGCGTGAGAATAGTCACGTGATATCGCTGACGCAACACTGCCCCCTCCTTAATATTGTTCGTCCCGAACAATAGCCACATACAGTAAACCAATAACAATTAACAATAACTTAATTAAATGTACAGAATTACAAACACAAAATTACAATTCAACAAAGTCTCTTAATTTTACGGGACGTATCTTCTTCCGTACTGGTCTCCGTCTCGTTGGCTTCTGCTTCATGTGGGATTCGTCTGCTTCATCAGTAAATGTCCTATCATCGGTAACAGTCACATCAGTGGTAGTATTTTCATCAAGAGCTTCACCGTTTCCCTTCTCAAAACTGAGTAGAGTTTCTTCTTCGATGGTGGCTTCTTTAGGTGGCACGTCTTCAGCAGCGTCATTTGTTCTGTTTTACACTTCATCCCAACTGAAATGT